CCACTATGCCAACCAGAGCTCATAGTATGTACAAATGGGAGGGATAAAGATGTTGCCCCCTTGAAACCAGGAACTAGGTTCTGAAGTCATTGTCAACAGTTATTGCTCACCAAAGGACATGGCACATTATGCTGGGACCTGTCAGCCTGGGTTCTTGTCCCACTTCCTCATCTCTATCACTGTGATGAGGGCCACTTGCATAAACATGTCAGTAATAGCCTCATCCTCCGACTGCAGCCCAGAGATGAGCAAGTAGGACGTATTGCTTGAGTCCTTTGGATAAGAGACTCAGCTGGGGACGCAGGTCCCAGCTTCCTGTCTGAGTCTGAGTTGTAGTACAGGAAATCCCTGGCTTCTGCTGGTACCAGTGTGTTTGTCCCACCATCAGAGGTCACTGCTCAGGTTTCAGGGGAGTCTGGCAGTTGTTCCCAGAGAGGCAGAGAGGGAGGCCGGCTGGGTCAGCACATGCTGGGCGAGAACCTTTCACCAACAATGAATGCAGGCCTTTCCTTAATACGCACATCTTCCTACATAAAAACTCCCAAGCGCAACTGATTTTGCTTCTCTAGAAGACACAGCCCAACACAAGGATCGAATTTACGACACATATGTAAAGTTTCTCAGCCCAGCTTGGTGGTCCACGTGGAGAGAGGGGGAAGAGAAGGAGGGCAAGGGAACGAGGGAGAAGGGAGTCGCCTTATGTATTTTTTGGTAAAACTTTATACTGAGCCTCATTGTCCTATCTCCTCAGAGAACTGCACCAGGTAACCTTTATGGAATCACCCCCAAAGTCAACATAACCTTCTGCACTGACCTTTCAGGTCCAGTAAATCCCCTCAAAAGGCAGTTTTTATTGGGTTCTAAGACACTGAGAAAACTTATCTGCAGCCATCCACAGTAGCACATACACGTGATGTTTTACTTGAAAATCAGCATGACCAATATTTTTTACCATCAAAGAACACTGGGACTAGTTCAAGATTACTTAGAATGGCATTAGTCCTCAATAAACGAAAGCTATCATAATTATCAACTGGCCAGTTGGGCAATTCTCATAATCCATAATTTAACACATAACTGAGTTTAACTCATAAGATTATTTCCTCTTGCTTCCCTTCCCCCTTCCCAAATTGTATTTAGGCCAATTTTTAGACTAGTGCCCCAAATGTAATGCAAAAATTGTGTCAGACACTTTTAAACCAGACTTTAATTTTCAGTTCAAGTGCTGAGGCATACACACACACTAATATTTATTCATAGAATCAGGGAATAAATATATGGTGTCAACATGTAGGGTAGTACACTTTCTTTCCCCAGTGGTTTTGAAGTTGTTTACACTTCCATTCCCAAGTGTTTCCATCAAATTACATTGCCTAAAATTCAAAAAGGAATTATGGCAAGTGGAATACATACATATTGGTAACCCAAATCTAGTACTGCTGTGTTTTCCATCATACAGACACGCCTGACAAACAGGTATTTGCTTCATGAATTGAATGGCACCTTCAGATAAATCCCGAGACTGAGAACTCGAGAGTCTATCATTTTGAAGTACTCTGGGACATCCGACCACATGTCTGGACTGGACCTTCTCAGCAGAGCTGTGAAAACAGGACCAGTCTGTTCTAGGAAAAATAAATGTAGCTTACAGCAACATGACCAGAGGTATTATTCTTACAAGTAAAAGGAGTTTGCATTTTCTCTTTATGTTCCCCACATCACCTTACATGTTACCAACATTAGAGTTCCTAAAGGCAAACCTAGGCAACTAGTTACTATATTGTCCATGAGGAAAATTACGACCCCAAACGTATCTAATTTTAGAATACTAACAACTTCGTATTCAAAGTGTCAACTCATACTACTAAAAGGAGTTTTGTAGGATGTGTTACAGGTATTCTTATAGTCATATTTACACGATAAAAATATCTAGATAAAAAGCAAATTTTATTAAGTTATATACCGTATAAATAAGGTTTATAGAGCAAACTGATTTTAGCACCATATGTACAATCTGGCCCTGCAAATTCATTTTTCAAACACAAAAAACATTCTTCCTTAATCATGCTGGCACCTCATTCTAATAAACACATATGCTGATTTAGGGGCTCTGTGGTAATAATTTAGTAACCAATTACATGTTATTCAAGAGTTGGCTGCCATTTTCACAAAACATAATTGAAAGTAGAGCATGTTCCATAACTAGCCCTCATCACAAAAGCTCTGAGAGCTAAAGGAAGAGCCTGCAAATGGTCTCGTTCCTCACTCCCTTTTTCTATGGCTCTCTAGTTTCTAGAAGGGTATGTTAAGTGCTAATCTGGCTGGCATGAAGATATAAGAACTAAACTCACTACATACTAAAACACCAAGTGAATTTTTTTTTAACTCCAAGTTGGGTCTTTTACATGTGTATCTGCTATTGAAAACAAGAGTAGGACATAACTGAAAAAGTAACTCCAACGGTATGCAGGAATCAAACACTATCAGTATCGCATGCAAGTAAAAGTCACAAAGACAATTCAATAACAATCACAGTGCATCAACAGGTTAAGTTCTAAAAATTCAAGTTGGATTCACATGGACATGAAACTAAAGAGGAATCATTGCTAATGTTAAACGAATCTTGGATGAAAGCCGAGAACATCAAGATGATGTTTATGAATTATGCGAAGGTATCCTACTTTGTGGAACATAATTATGTAACACTATGAAGAATGGGATTCCAGAATTGGGCTCATGTAAAACCTGTCCAGACCATGAAGCAGGGGATATTGAATGGTCTAAAATGAAGATGTTTAATCTTTTTCCCATTCTTATTCCATCTGTATGCTGAGCAAGTCATATGAGAAGCTAGACTATATGACTGCAGCAACAAGACTGGAGGAATATTTATTAATCTATGATTAATCATAGGCAGATGGCACACCTTGCTTGCTGAAAAGTGGACTTCAAAAAGTAAAAATCCTCATAATTACACCAATGATACCATCAAGATAAAAGAAGACTGAAGTTATCAAATCTGTTGGAAGAATGTTTTAAAAAGTGTTAAAAAGAAAAAAAGCAAACATGTCCCCTAATTTGAGGACAGTTAATGGACACATCTGAACTATGGGAATTGAAGATCTAATGTACCACAAACTGCCAGAATAAACTTCTTGGTATTTTAGCCAGTAAACTCTGTAGAAGATGGCAAGACTTCATCTCACTCACTTTGGACTTATTTTCAGGGAGCTAAGTGGACAGAGGGGTAACAAAATATTATAAGACCCTGAATGAGATTATATGGATTGACACAGTGGCTGCAACAATGGGCTAAAAGAGCAAGGACTGCATGGAGCTTACAGTATTGTTCCATTTCTATAAGGGTTGCCAAATTAGAAATGGCTTGATGGCACTTAAAACACTAGGAACCCTGAGGGCCTAGTAGTAGTTAAAAGCACACCTGGCGCTCCACAGGAGAAACATGTGGTAGGCAACTTGCCCTTGGGAAGTGTGTGTAAGGGGGCGGATGTTGGGGTTCTGTCCTAAAGGTTTTAACAAAGCAAGTATCATACTCTCACGTGTCAGGTACTCATATAAAAATTAATCAGTCTGTAATTATCAATGTGCAAATAAAGCTGAGGTTGAGTTGCCATCTAGAACGGTTGTAATTGGTGAAACGGAGTTCCAAATCAAGTCTTCCTCTACTAATTTAAGCACTGCTTCTCCTCAGTACAATAGTATTAATTCAAAATTATCTAGAGCTTTTAATCAAAATGAAATGAAAAGTTAAATATAGTTCACAACTATCATGAAGTGTTTACTAAAATGCTGACTTCATTTAATTGAACACACAAAATATGGGCACATTTAACTGCAATAATTGAAGTACATTTTGTACTTCATTTTATTTTATAAAGTAAGTTAACTTTAAGCAAAACAATCTCATGATAAATGCATTTCATTATTTATTTAGATGTTTAAGCTCTCGCAACTAGGTTTTTACAAGCTGGTGAACACTGACAAATTATTTTCCCCCACAGAACTATAACCACACATTCCCAGACAGTATAAATATATGGTTGAACTAACATTAATACACATCACCATTTTATCAATTACATAATAAAACAAATTATCAAGTATCCAAATATTAAGTTACACAGCTCAAAAGGCATATAAAAAGTAGAGTCTGCTCAATTCATTAGCAGAAACCTATTTTTTTTGCAAGAAGTTGGAAAGGGGGGAAACCACACTTCAAACAAAAAGTTGGTAAACAGCTTCCAATTGATGAAAAGAAAATTTCAGATTTTTATAATTAAGAATTGTTTTAGCTACAACAAAGCATCTCTACCCTTTAAAAAAATATTTACTAAATTAAAGAGCATATTCTACATGTTCTGCACATGACAAAGGCAACATTTTACTAAATATTTAATAGCCACTCCCATCCCTTTCTTTTTTCAGGCCCACCCTCTGTTAGACTGCACCCAAAGTGCGAACATTAAATTAACTGTAAGGCTTTACTTTTTTGTTTGTCTGGAGACATTAAAGACATGTGCTTCGGTACAATGTAGTTTGGTTCAAAATGAGGGTTTTCCATAAAAGCACAAAATGACAGTAAAGACATTAATGACACTGTAAGAAGACTTGTTAACAAACTCCCCCCACCAAAAAAAATCAATGGTTGTGCAAACCTGATGAATCTGGGAGATGTAAACAGAAAGTGAACCAGCAAATAACTACTATCGGTCCTACTTTCAAGGTTTGAAATGACTGAAGGAATAAACCACATTAGGTCTAGTGTTCATAGTTCCCAGATTTTTTTTTTTTAGTTCTTTATGATCCTAAAAAAAAAAAAAAAAATCAATGGTTGTGCAAACCTGATGAATCTGGGAGATGTAAACAGAAAGTGAACCGGCAAATAACTACTATCAGTCCTACTTTCAATGTTTGAAATGACTGAAGGAATAAACCACCTTAGGTCTAGTGTTCATAGATCCCGGATTTTTTTTTTTTAGTTCTTTATGATCCTAAAAATACACAAATATTGTGCTGGGTATTTTGGCACCTAATCTCACTAAGTTTCTTGTATGGTGATAAGATTCTGGCATGGGAATAGATTTAAAACAATACTGCATGATTTTCAGGACAGGTCAATTGGTACAAATGATAAGCACATTTTAAATGCTGAACGCTGTGTCCACATAACCCAAACGTGTAGCCTGGTAAAACTGCTTTCAATACTCCTAATGGAAGCTTTATAAAACGTATTCACCAAGCTAACATGTTAGTAAATATAAATGACACATTAGATCCTGTCTCAAGTTCCACTTCCAAAGGAATACCATCAGGCACCCGTTTATTGGATGCAACAGTTGTTTCTATGACCATTGGAGTCTTTGAAGCGCAGCCGCATTTTAGGGCGATACTTCTCCAAATACAAAAGTTGCTTGCTATTAAAAGCTCCACGACGCTTTCTGGGAGAGAAAAAAAAAAAAAAGCAGAGCAGAATAAGCAACTATATAAAATAAAACCTATAATGTTTAGTGTGCTACGGGAAAAGAAATTGTTCACAGTACACCACTCATTGAGCAGTTAAGATTCCTAACAAGCTCTTATGTGGAAATCGGTGCTATGGGGAAAATAGATGACCACATGACCTCACCCCTTTTCTGTATTGTGAAAACATTCTTCCAAACCCCTGACCTCTCTAATGTCCCTGCCTATGAGGGGACATGGAGAGCCAATATTGACTCTGAAGTTTGGCCTCCATCACTGGGGTACACACATGGGAGGACTACTCAAGTCTTCCAGGGTAGCCCAAGGGACACCTTTTCTCCTGACTTCATTGTATTTTCAGGCGCTTACCTGCTTATTCCCTAATGAGTACGTACACACCATCTTTGGTGACAATGTTAATGGCAGGGAGGTCTGGGCGCCCAATTAATGGTACATACTACCCACTGGGCCATTATTATGGGACTATTATGAAAATCAATAATCCCAAGCATCCTCAGATGCCATGTTAGGCCTGACCTCGGTCCCTGAACTTAAAACTGCAGCTGTTCGCTGGCACTCATCTACTGATAGCAACCCCCCTTCCCCAGTAGTCTGCCCCACCACCTTCAAGTGTGCCTCTTCCCTGGAAAGGACAGGGAGGAAAGGTGAGCGGTGGTATAGATGCCTGTCAGGAAAGGTTGGGTCCTCCTGGGGGGCTGGGTATCTTGAGTGCTCGACTCAGGGATCCTTCTAACCATAGCCCATCCCTGCTACCCCCATGAGACTTGGAATGAGGGCTAGACCCCGGAGTCCTACTTCCTCCCTTCCTGACCCTGAGGGTGTCTCACTTTTAGAACATTGGTTGCTGCTGCCCTGGGCCCCCTATGGTAAGGTGACCAGATTTTAACATTGGTAAAGCGGGACACCATTGCTAAAACTCATATCCTGGCGAAATAGCCACATGGCAGCCCAAAACTGTATACCGTAGCTTGTCGTGCATTCTTTCCAAAAATCGGGATTTTAAAATGCAGCAGGACACGGGAAAAATTGTTAAAAAGCGGGACGTCTGGTCACCTTACCCTATGGGCACCCATGACCCACCAGACACCACCTGAAGTCCTCAGCAGCTTAGGGAGACCAAGGGCCTTCACCCCAGTGAAATACAATGCAGTATGAGCTTCCTTTCTATGTATACATAGGGTTTGTCAGTCAGGGACTTGCTACTGCCAGATGTGTACCGTAAAATCGTTAGAACAGTAGACTTTTTACTAGTGTTGTACATGGTAAATATCAGACAATATGATAGGCGAGAAAGGTAATGAAACGAATCACTACATTTACAGGGAAAAGAGTTAAAAAAGAGAGATACTTACTGTCTTATGAACTGTACTGCATCTTCATATTTCATTCCACCTTCAATTAATGCTAGGGCAACAAGCACTGGAGCTCTGATAAGGTAAACATTTTGGTAATTTCTTTTAAAACCATATCCTAAGATATTTATTATTGAAACATCCCCCCAATCCAAAAGTATTATTATCCACCACTTATGTGAAAAATTAACGTCTGGATTAAATGGTGAAAAATTATTTCACATTAAATACATCTTTTTATATAAAACCCCAGAAAATGTCCTAAACTATATTATGACTTGACAGGTCACCTTTAAAAAAAATGTAGTGAAGAACTAAATTTTCATAAATCCAGGAGTTTTTCCCCTTATTTTCAAGCAGTGAAAAACATTTTTTATTTCAGTATTTGTCTACATGTCACGTGCTCTTTTTTACTGCTCTTCTGACTACAACATGCTTTACAGTGTAATGAGTTCCTATGGAATTACAGCTCAAATGCTACATTAAAAAAATAGATACCAAAATAAGCTACTATTAAGCACAATTCAGTCCTTTTAACAAATGAGCTTAGCTAAAGATTCCCATATACTCAGATAACCTAACACAAGATTAATTCTATAAAAAGTTTGTCAATGTAAAGATAGAAAATTACAGACTTGGCATTTTGTCCTAGTTGCACTGAAACACACTTAGAAAAATCATATTCACCAATTTTAATTTAAGGAACTCAGCAAAGCAAATGGATTCACAAAAGACTCAGTGAATCTACATTAGAGTTCAAAATAAAATTAAGCTTTTACTAGATTTAACATTAATACCCTGGACACAATTAGAAAATTCTTACCTCCCAAGTCCTGCAACACAATGGACAGCAATGCAACAACCAGGCTCTTCACGAAACTTAATTTTCACGAGACTTAACCAGTCATCAACAATTTGGTTGGACGGTGGAGCACCATCATCAAAAGGCCAATCCTAAATCGAAACAACGTGTAAACTCTTTACTAGGTATGTTACTTTAAAATTCCCACCACCCAAATGTATTTACTGAAAAAGCATTTTTTTTTGGTTTTAACTACCTTTTTAATTAAACTCCATTGTTAAGAAAATACAGTGGTGGAGGGAGGGTGGGGTAGAAAGGGGGAACCGATTACAAGGATCTACATATACCTCCTCCCCGGGGGAGGGACAACAGAAAAGTGGGTGAAGGGAGTTTTCTGCCTTGGACATAGCTCAAGTCTTTACTATTACTTTTAGTGGAAAATATTCCAGTTTTCTTCTCTTACAAGGTTTTGTCTTAGACAGGTTCCAGCTGTCACAGGCTTACTCTTTAAGTGATGAGTATTTATAGATATTTTATTGCTCAAAACTGCGCTTAACTTTCCACCTTTTGGGAAGATACTGTACATATCTATCACACACATCTAATAAGTGTTAAATACTTACAAGAACATGAATGCCTTCTTTTTCCACAAGAGCAGTGTCATAAGTTGCTTCACATACTCTTACGATTGTGGTAACTCCATACTTCTTAAGTTCCTAGGTAAAACATACAAATTAATACTTACACAGGCTTTCAAAGACTCCTAAGGTATTAATAATTACAGCTCTTCTAAGGTTAAATGTATAGACGATAAATAAAATTACCAGGGCATTTTCCTCTGATATAAAGAGGTCTTATTTGCTTTCACTGAGCATCTGTTAAGACATTTGTGAACAAGTACTCAGAGTAATTGTGTGGCTGCTAAGTGAAAGGTCAGTGATTCAAACTCAATAAAAACTATGTTTAAAAAAAACTATAGCAGTTCCCTTCTGAAAAGATTACAGCTTTAGAATCCCTATAGGGCAGTTCTACTTTTGTCTTATAGGGTCACTTTGAGTTGGAATCAGAAGCTATCCATAAAAGAAAATGTTATTCTTTCAAATAAATTAGTCAGCGTCAGTCCTTTCTCACAGCCCAAAGCATTTTGTTTTGGTTATTTAGCAACAACCAGAAAGTAGAATTAATTGCTGAAAACTTGATTTCTGAATATAAAATAGGATCCAAGATCTACTAATTTTGGTTTGTGGCGTGCATTAGGCAAAGTAGACAATGGGTATGGGTAATCCATAAATGGTAACTTTCTTTGTTGCAGTACTATGACCTCCACTACAGGAAGGTGTTTAAATCTCCTCACTCCCATGCCATCGAGCTGATGCTGACACACAGTGACCACATAGGACAAGGTAGAACTGGCCCTTTGAGTTTCTGAGATTTTAATTCTTTATGGGAGTAGAAAGCCAGTCTGCCCCCCTGGTTTGTGTCAAACTGCCAACCTTGCAGCTTGTGTAACCATTATGCTCCTGAACTCACAGTAATTGAATCATAGTGACCTATAGGGTAGAGGGTAGAACTGCCACTTCGGATTTGAGGTTATAAAGCTTTACAGGAGCAGAAAGCCTCATCTTTCTCCCTCCGAACAGCTGGTGGGTTCAAAACCTATTATGTAACTCAACTTGCCACCAGAGCTTTTTTAGGTACAAAGAAACAGACTGGGGCTGGAGAGACTATGCTAAGTCACAAGAAACTAGGCAAGGAACAGAAGGTGGGAGAAAATAATGATTTGTTAAAGCCACCACCTGTGGCATTTGTGTTAGAAAGCAGCACTGGATAATTAAGAGGGTAGCCTGTGGCTGTATACATTTCTCATGACACCCAGTTAGAAAAATTGAATTATGCCAAGAAATTCTGGCACAAAAAATTATCACAAATCCAAAAAACACACAGCGCCTCAAAATTTATTAAGCTTAACACCTCTAACCTAAAGCAATATTGTTTTTGGAAACTGGCACTCTATGTATATCATCTCTTAAATTCCCCCAAATTATCAACTCAAAAGATTAAAAAAGTATCAAATCTTACCTCTATAAATTTATTTAAGGTCGCATTGGTTGGGTTGTGTGTAATAAGAAATCTCATGTTCTTGTATGTGACTTCCACAGGAGCTGGGCGGTTCATTCGAGCCATGTTAATTTAATTTAAAAAACACTCAATAGGGCTATGAAAGAACTTTTAAAAAGTGAATACAGAAATGATGTAAAGAAAATGAAGTCTACTTCAAAATACTCCACTTGAAATTCTCAGTGCTCTGAGTATGATGTTCGTCGTAATGGGAATGAAATGAACCTCCTAACCAGAAGCAGCAATTCTCCAATCCAGTAACACTGAGGCATAGAAAGGAAGTGCACTGAGGTCTACCCCATCCAGGTCAGAGCTCTTGACAATGGCTCTGTGAATGGATTTCAATTCAACACTTCTGTGTCCACGTTATCCGCTCTTATGGGGGCTTCTCGGTGGAGTAGTAATGAATTTCTACAGTTCACTTGTCTGCATAGAGGTCGTGCTGTGCCTGGCAGTAATCTCCACTGCCCTTCAGAAACTCCATAAATGTGTGACCAAGAACACCACAGAACTGCTGTTTAAAAGAAAAAGAGGGAGAGGGGAGAAAAAGAAGAAAAAAAGGTTGCTTTCCAATTCAAAAGAACAAGTTAGGTGTTTCTTAGAATACCTAACTAGAATCCAAGTCACTTTTCACTTACTCACTATTAGGGTGGTTATAGATTAAACCCATAAAAATATGGTAAAAACTCTCAAAGGGATTACTTTAAAAAATAAGACGCTAAAGGCCAACATATATCTTATTTGGTATTTGCTGGTTTAATACACTAAAGGATACTCAAAGACAAACACACACACACACCACCCCCTTTCTTGATAGTTGGCTATTTCGTTTCACATTGTCATGAAATATATGTGCAACTTTCTACAACTAATTTTCCACTATTAAAACATTTCTGTACATAAGGGACTGAGAGAGAACACAGTGAAGCTTAGTTCTTACATATGGCCTTTCAGGAAAAGTAATTAAAACGTGGTTTTTTTTCCTCCTTTTCTTTTTAAATTATTAATCATTTTTATTGGGGGGGGGGGATAACGGTTTTATCTTCATGATTGATCATTTAAATTAGGGTCTTGGAAAGTTAAATTACAAATCCTTTACTTACTTTTGGTGCTCTCATTTTTTAAATTTCAAACACACACTTTCAAATGAAACTAAGCTAACTTCTTACAGCACCTTTAAAAGTTGCCTTGAGTGGGGGGCTGATAAGTTGAGCGTTAACAACAAAATTCACTTAGCCAATATCTGTTTCTCTCAGCCCGTTAATTTATCATTTGACTTTAATGAGAGGAAACTCAGTCTCTGGAACCTATACACAACTATGATGAAAATAGATGCTTTTAAATTTAAGTACAACTAGACCCCGGGATATGAATGTGCCAACACTCATACATACATAGATTTTGATAACACATTCCTGATACCTTGTGATCTACATCAAAGCGTATTTTTACTGCATAATTATTTTAAAGATATCTGGAAGTATTTCCTATCTTTTTTTTAGATAGAAAGGTCAAGACTTTACCCTGCCAATGATTTACACACAAAACACTTAGAACCAGTTCATAATTCAATGCCTACCCTTAATTCAACGAGTACCTATGAACTATTACAAAAACACCTACTGCTAGGAATTGATCCCAACTCCTATTGGTCCCTCATAGGGCTTTTCCTCCAGGCTATAAATCTTTGTGGGAGCACAAAGCCTATTTCTCCTGCAGAGAAGCTGTCAGATTTAAACTGACCATCTTGTGGTTAGCAGTCCATTGCTTATCAGACATTATTACTAGGACTTGTTATCTATAAACTATAAAAAATTACGGTTAAAACTTTCTGATATCTTGAAGCAAAAAATTAATTTGGGCTGAATTGGAAAGCACATTTTAACAGAGTGTGTGGACAAAACTTGGGGAATGAACATTATCCTATACTTAAAAGTCTCAGAAGCAAGACAACTGCTACCACCTAGAAGTAACTGTGTATTTGTTTTTCTTAAGTGCTCAAAGAAAGCCAATTAAAAAAATAAACCAAAACCAAACCACAAGAGTTATTTCCATAGTATTTAAAAGAAAGGCATCAATGTTATGTAACTTTGCTACAAAGAGTTTATAAGGAACTTGTGTATTTTTGGAGTAAAGAGGGAACTAAGAAATATTAATAGGAGACTGCTACGTGCCAGCCACTACTCCAAACACTTAAGTATTTACTCATAGGACTAAAATCTTATGTAACAAAACAGCTTCAGTAATTTTCCCTATTTGAATGTAAATTTAAGAGGCTCAATATTAAAAATCGATCCTCTACGCCCAATTTTTGTTTTATACAATTTAAGCTCCGAAGATAAAAGTTTTCAGAACTTTTAATAATCCATAAAGGTATTAGGTTAACAAAAAACATCAAATAAGACCAAATTTATTTTTCTGTCAAAACAAAGGAACAGTATTACAAATTCTGTAAAAAGTACAATTTTCATTATTCCAAATGTGTCCAAATTGAGCCCAGAGGCTGGTATTTCAACTGCTGGGTTAAAGTATTGTGTACATCACAATATTATTAAGAGTACATCATTTCTATAATGAACAGTGACTGTTGTACTTCCATTCACTGAAATTCTATCACTTCCTGAGACTACAATAAAGTGTATTCTGGCACTTTGTAATGACACAATGACAGTGATAAGGACAATGACTCCTATCGTTACTGAGTGGAGCCACCTTGTGGCTAGGGGGACTTCTACCAAAGCAGCAGTGACTGCTAGCTCCTTTCAATTAGGCTGAAGACAATCCCATTCCTAACAGGGGCCAAACAGTTCAACCTAGCACACCGCCCTGCCTATATTGGTTGCAAAAATCAGGGTCATACATACACGGGGTGGGGAGGGGGGTGGTAGTGAGAAAGAAAGCTTGTTTGTCAGATTTCCAAAGCAAAAATAATCTATCTGCACACGGCTTTGTCAAATAATTCATTAATAATAGTCCATTCTCGGATACTTTCCTAAGACAATGCACCTGGAATAATGCATACGTAAAATGTTTATTCTTGGGAAAGTTCTAGTTTCCAGGTTTTCAGCTAATTTACTGCCATCCAACAAAACTCACGTAATTAAGAGTAACAGGAAGCATTGCCTCAGCGCCTGGATCGAAAGAAGGCCAGCAATTCCAAATACGAAGTGTAAATAGCAACTTAATACTCTTGGAATGGTAGAGGCTTCCACGGACAGAAGATAAAACCTCAGAATCCCAGCTGGCTGGCTCCGGTTGTCACCAGCCAACAGGGGGAAGGAAACTCATTAACCCCAGGATTTCACCCACAGTTCTAAATAATGCCGGATTAAAGCGCACCACCCAGGGCCCTTCCAAGATTAGCAGGGAAACCGCATGCTGACGATGGCCCGCCGTAGCCCCGGCAGTTTCCAGGACGCTCACACTAGGGCCATTTCTCCAAGGGACAAGACTGGACTTGTTCCCAGCACCCCGAGCCCAGGTGGGGCGTGAAATCCCGAACGGCTCCAATTACCAGGTGGAGCCGAGGGCGGGAGGCGGGGCAGCGAGCGCGGCTCCTCACCTAGCAGAGCCGGCTCCAGCGGGGCAGGAGCTCGCCAAGGGTCCCCGGTGGCCACCGCTCCGCGCACGCGGCCGTGCGCGCCCGGGCCCGCCCGAGGCGCCCGCTCTCTCCGCGCCGCAATCACGGGTTCGCGTCGCGCCTTCAGTCAGGCGCTGGCGCCGAGGCCATTTTGTCTGAGCCGCCGGTCTCGGCGGCCAAGCACCGGGGTCGCCACACCAGGCTGCGGTCCCGCGCCGGAGCCGTCGGCAGACACCGTTCCCAGCCGCGCCGGGGCGACCCGCCTACCCCACGCCGACCCGGGTCTGGTGGCGACCCCGGCAGCGCGCCCTCCCCGTATCCGGCTCCGCAGTGACACGCGCAGCCCTCGCCCCACCCCGGGCCACGTCTCCCGCGCCCTCGGAGGGCCGCCCGGCTTCG